AGAGATGCTAGTATATATTAGGACATTGCACTACCAAGTCACTTAGAAGCAGTTTAAAATGTTTTAGTAGGCTTCAAATAGAAACTGTACACAAAAATGGTTGAAAATTATTCTGAATATTGGAATATCATTTAGTTAACTTTATACCCTCAAAAAATAAGACAGTAAGATGTATAGAATAGGTTTCTCCTTATAAAATAAATACTAAATATAGACCTAATAATAGCATATGTTTATGATTATTTCTCCTTCAGTTGGTATAGTATTATATATTCAACATGAAAGTGATGAGTTTCAAAGTTTAAAAAATTAAACTTATTTTTCATCAGTTGCTATTTTTTTTTAAAGACATTGCTAAACATAAAGGATTTAACTTAAAAATGAAGTTTAAATATATCACTGTTCAATGTGGAGCATGTTTGCAACTAGATTTCTAATACTAAAAGAATTTATGTGCTTCTCAAAGTACTCTCACATCATGTATCATATAAACATATCTATAAATTAGAAAGTTAAGCTATTAAGATTAAATTATTCTGTAACACCATGAATGATATTCTTGAGAACATTTATCTGTGGACTATTTATGTTGTCTTATACATTAAAAAATAACTTGTTTAAAAGGCAATGTACATTTAGCCAAATTCATTATTTTTAAGGTTTCCAGACCTTCATTGTTTCAAGAATTAGAGATGTGTAATACATGTTGCCTCATTAAATACAATGAATTTTATAACGAGTTTAACTAAATGCAATTATACATGCTAACAGCTCAAAGATTTAAATTTTCATTTTCAGGAATCTTCTATTTGGTTAGTGCCACCCTACCATCCAGACACTGTTTAGTAAACTTTTGAAACTTACTAAAAGAGGTTTTTAATAATGGTTAGTATCCTTGCACCTTTTTTTCTTTTTGTAGTCTGTCATATTGTGCAGAGACATTTCTGTTGTTGTTTTCACCCTACAAAACTTACTTTGACACAATTTGTGTGTTTCTGTCCCTGAGAAGTGATTTGAAAAGCATGGTAGTTTTCTTTCTCTTTCTTCCTCCCTCAATCTCTCTCTCACTTCCTCTCTCCCTTCTCTTCGTCCCTCTTTCCTTCACTGTTTCTTTCCTTGTCTCCCACCCCCTTTTCCTCTCTTCCGTGTCTTTTATTCTTTCTTCTACTCCCTCCTCATCCTCAGCTTCCTTCTTCTTCATGATAATCAGGAAATTCCTGTCAAGTGCATTTAGGTTTTTCAAAATCTTATTCCATAGTTCATAAAAGGACATGTAAAAAATTCTGATCATGATAAGAAGTAGGAAACACTATTTGTCTCTATCAAATGACAAGTTAGAAGCTTAAAAATCAGACATAGTACTTTTTTGGCAACGTACAACACAGAGAAACAGCTATACCTCACAATCGTCTGTACAGTTTCAACTTTGGGTTCTTACAGAGATCAAGATACAGAATTTACATTTTAAAGCTTTAAAAAATTTTTAAAAATGTGTTTGCTTTAGTGATAAAAGTGAACCACACTTTACGGTACCATTAAGTTTTTTAAATTTGTCAATGTTGACTCCAAATTTTTGCTCAAATCTAAAGATTTTCATGGTTTTGTGAAGGATTGGAAATATTATTTAAGTAAGAAAAGAACCTACAGCTTCATGGTGACTGTATTAGAATCTAAGATAATACTATTTTTTTAGGTAAAACTTTTTGATAAATCAAAAAGAACTGTCAAAGTCAGCTTATTTAGAGAAAAAATTAACAAAAGTGGTAACATGATATTAAAATCAAAACTACTGATCGACAGCTTAAAGCTTGTTTGATTATATTTTTTACTTTCTAATAACTTAAGAAAATAGAGAAAGACTAAAATGATAGTGGTGGGATTACATGTTTACAATTTTCAGAGTTTATAAATTTGTAAATATCATTTACTTAAGATAATTTTAAATTATTTATGCTTGATTGGGACAGGATATATGCTTATAATTTATATTAATCAGTATTGCAAGTTTTATATTACATAAAATTGCTTTAAAAGAGTTTAAATGCACTTATTTATAGTCTGAAGTTAAGTATAGGCTATTAATACAATTACTTCCTAACTAACTAGAAATAAAATTGAATCAGTTCATTGTTGAATAGTTATGTACATTTGTAAGATTTTTTCCTGAGAAAATCAGTTGTTTAGACCACTCTGTTACTATGGACAAAACAATATCTCTATTTTATCACTTTTGAAATCAATATAATCATGATATCTAAAAACTGAGTTTGCCAAAGAGAATGTTATAAATTTTTTAGCATTTGGGAAGTTTAATTATTTTAAATGAAGGCTTATTTCAAACAATTCAACATTATTCACATCCTATAACATTTTTAAAGTGTCGATGGCATCAAGTTCTGACATTATTATATTATCTAATCAATTCTTCTGTTAAATGTTTCAACAGAGAACCAAGACTAAGTTACCTCAAGACTATGTATTCCTCCCTCTTTTGGAGTCAGATTTTTCCATTTCTACAATGTTGTCATCATCACCATCTTCATCATCATTTTCATCATGTTCTTAATAAGTACATCTAATAGTAGGTATTAAGCAACAAGAAACACTGTGTCCATATACTGGCTATCAGGTATCATATAGATCCTTTAATAGAAATAGAATCTGTGAATTTCAAAACCATATAATTTAACACATAATAAATAATACATAGAAATAACTTGGCAGTTAGTTGGGAATTCATGTGTAGCATTTAATCATCTCTCATGACAAACACTAATAAATTAATATTTTTATTAATTTAATGTTATTAAACAAATAACAAAAGTTTATCTGATTAATTAGCTCACTTGTACACAATGTATTTTACTAAGCATCTGAGAAAATTTTTAAGCAATTGAATTACAAACATTGTTAAAAAAGAATTAAAATTTTAAGGTCATGTACAGCTATTGTTAATTCGGTCAACAGTGCCATGAGCACTTGATCACTACTCTTTACAATTCAGTGAGAGGGAAGCGTGGAAGACCTAGAGGTCAGACAGAGAAACATGATAGTGAGGGGAAAATGGTAAACTGAGTAGAAATAATAAGCCTGGTCAGTTGGAAAGTGGTTCCTGAATAAGTTAAAATTTGAGTCATGTCTGGAGGTAAGGGATAAAGCTGGACTGATGTGAAAGATGAAAGAACTCTGCTGAGTACCAGAGCAAGAAGAAACAAAGGAGAAAAACTTTGGAGGGCCAAAGAGAAGCATGTGTGTAAAGAAAAAAGAAGAAGAAGAAGAAGAATAGGTTGGGGGAAGATAAGGTAAAATTAACTCAGAGAGGTCATGATGGAAAAAAGAGATTTGGATTTCACCTGTTTATTGGACAAGATAATACTATTAATAACATGTTTAGAACAATAGATTATTGTTGATAATTGTGAGAATTTCAGGAATAGCCAAGGCATAGATTCGGGATGATCACCAAGGAAACTCTTCAGCAACCCAAAGAAGAAAAATGAAAATATAGCCAGGAATGGACAAGAAGCTAACAGGGCAAGATCAAAAAACATAAAATTGGGTATCAGAATATCTTGCTGGAAGTGTAGTTGTGAGCTGCAGAAAGTGAGTTATCCTCTGTCATACAGATGCCCAACTTAATTCAGTATCAGTTTGTATCACAAAAGGTGATATATGAAAAGTATTTTAAAAAATATAAGGCATGTATATGGTATTAACCATTTTTATCCTATATTATTTTGGAATTCAGTTCAGTTCAGTTCAGTCACTAAGTCGTGTCCGACTCTCTGTGACCCCATGGACTGCAGCACACCAGGCTTCCCTGAACATCACCAACTCCTGAAGCTTGCTTTTGGATTTTGGAATTATCCTAAGATGAAAAACAACAAAGCAGCAACACGAAGTGCAAAAAAAAAAAAAAAATAGACTTCACATGCATATTTGATTAGGTTTATTTCATTATGTTTTCATATCACTTTTTGGAATTGTGTAAATTTTTCATTCTTGTCCACATTTTTAGTTGTTGTCCACATTTTTAGTTCTTGCAAAAAAAGAGCCTAAGTCTTAGACCATCTGAATGTCAACAACAATAGGCAACTGGTTCATGAATCTGAGTTATATGTAACTAACACATGTATCTCAATTAGGTGGAGAGGGAGACTAACAAGTTTCTGTCTTATGTTTTCACTCTGTAATAGGAATTTGAGGAGTGTGTAATAAGTTCCAGGTATATAGAATTTCTGGCAAATCTATTGCCAATGAAATAGGAATTAAAAAATATATATGTAGGGTCACTTTTTCTTCATGGAATAAATGATCAGTCCTCAATTAACAAGTTGATGATACCAAAAACTTAGTTAATATTTGTGCATGGATTTTTAAATGTGATACAATGTCATTTCATGATTAGGTCATATGTGTTTGTAATCTTCACCGATAGTTTTATAGGCATGATCACAAAAAGATATAATGAATACCAAAAATACTTTTCCATATTTTATGTCTAAATGTGTGAGTGCTATTTTTGTTCTGTTTTGAAAGACAAAATGAAGAAGCCACGTTTAAAGAAAATTTTCATATCTTACATTATGATCTAAAAGCCAGTACATTTTGTCTAATATTTTTTAATAGCATGGATGGATTTCTGGTAACTGATTTGTTTATATGTGTTTGTATTTAAATTTTAAGGTAGATTATATCTTATCATGTTAATCAATTATATATCTTAAAACCTCATTCAAATTATGTGTAATGTATGCATTCCTAGCTGGCAGTTCACTACAGGTGGAGATTTTCTTTAAACTTGCCCACTTGATAAAATACTTTAATTATCATGTTTTGAGTATTAAAAGTGGAATAATTTGATATAACCCTTATAATGGAATTTTTCAAAACTTTAAGGCTGCTATGTTGAGAAGTCTGTTGAGACTGAATCTACTATTGTTTCAGGACCATTGCGGTCGATGTGTTTGTAATGTTTCCTTTTCTGTGTTATTCCATAGAGGTCCTTCTGTAGCGCCATGGTAGAGGAACTGAGGATGTCCCTGAAGTGCCAGCGTCGGTTAAAACACAAGCCACAGGCCCCAGTTATTGTGAAAACAGAAGAGGTCATCAACATGCACACATTTAACGACAGACGGTTGCCAGGTAAAGAAACCATGGCATAAAGCTGGGAGGCCAAACACCCAAGCACAAACTGTCGTCTTTTTTTCCAAACAATTTAGCGAGAATGTTTCCTGTGGAAATATGCAACCTGTGCAAAATAAAATGAGTTACCTCATGCCGCTGTGTCTATGAACTAGAGACTCTGTGATCTAAGCAGTTGCAATGATCAGACTTGATTTATAAACATCATGGATCAACCGAGTTACACGGGGTTACACTGTTTATCATGGGTTCCTCCCTTCTTCTGAGTGAATGTTACATAACCATTTTGTGGCTGGTTTCAAATGCAGTCCGGGAAGAAATTACAGGTTCCTTTTGAGGTTCAACTGTTGCCAGGAGATGGAATATCAATGCCCCAAGGGTAACCAGAGGAAAAAAAAAATCATTAAGAATAAAAATACTTGGAATCAGCAAAAACTGTAGTGTTACAAGAAACAGTTAAGTCTTCTGACCACCCAGATAAGAGGGTGATGATGTCACTAGCCCCCAGCTACTCAGTATAATGGTCATCTGAATAGACAATATGTGCTTATAGGATGTGAAGAAATGTAAAGCAAAACAAATCTGAATTTCATGGCAAATGGAATATAAAGCAGACCTTCATCAGTGTTTTTCTTTCTTTCCTTTTTGTTTTTTTTTGATAGTCTGTGTCACTGATTGAAATACAAGTGTCAAATTACCAAGGCAATAATGTTTTTTCTTATATTCACTGTGGCAGGAGATTTAACATGTATCTCTATCAAATCCCTACCTATTCCAGCCACCCTTTCCCCAACCTCACACCAAGAATAAAAAAAGCAACAATTGGTTCAGAGATTCTGAATTAAAATGGATGATGTTTTGCACTCTTTGTCTTAAGCTGTAAAAGAGGGCTGATCATGATAGTTCTGTGGAAGACTGAAACTTTCATTCTAACATTCAGACATGTTAATCCAAAACCTCCTTCCTGCTATAAATGAACTGGATGGAGCCTGGGCAGATCTCAGTGAAAGGAGAAAGGGGACTGGTCATCTAAAGAGAAGTATGTGTGGTGAACTCTGACGTGGACTGCATTTATCAATACAGTCACAATGTTAAATGAACAAAATTCTTGAGCAGTTTTTTTTCAAAAAAATGTTCAGGTTTATTTGTGGAAATGCAAGATTTCTATGAAAATAGTTTTTGTATGGAAATTTTTGTAATACTTTTTATCAACAAAATAAGAACATGCGTTCCTGTCAGGGGTGTGATGTCGAGCATGAATGGTAGTGCGTGTGCACCACCAACGTTTGGTGAAAACTATTTTTATCAAGAAAAAAGGAGTCATAGAAGAGAAATATTTTCAAGTTAGATAATATAAAAGCTAGGTGCATTACCACCACTGCTTCTCATGCCACACCCCTGGTTTCCACGAGGCGGATAACATACTGTAATGAACAATTGTGTGTAAAATGGTAAAAGACACAGACCTCTTGACAACATTGTGATAAAGTTGAGTGCACACAGTTTGCTGTTTGAATCCAATGCACAAAATTTAAAAAATCATTAAAATTATGTCCATTTTACTTTCAGCTTTGACTTTCATTTTTCTCTAATGTGGGTCGATGAATGCACTATTTGTTCTTTGCATGAAGGGAAGTGCGCTTCCTGAATCCTTCCAGGTCATCAAGGATGACCACTTCAAAACTACCTGGAGAAAAGAAGAAAAAAGCTCAGGCTCAAAGCTGGACTAGAATATAAAATGTAATCTTCAGGCTTAGGACAGTTCAAATGTGAAAAGTAACAGTTTTAGAGGATACAGTCATGATCTTCGCTCTTCTGTGAGTGGACAATGATTATGTCCATAATGATTATGATATTATATGTGAAGTTCAACTCATGTCCAATTTAAGAATTCATTGCACATTGATAATTTAATTCAGCCAAGGGGGAGGAAGAGATAGGCTCAATATCAACGATAAATTTTAAAAAATACTTATTTTAACTAGAACTCCTATCCAAAAACAAACAAACAAACAAAAAATAAATAAATTGCTAATAGCCATTACTTAAAAGTTCAATTTCTAAGTGTTTTCAAAATTTCTAGTGTCGGGGTTAAGTTTCATACTTCAAGGACAATTATGTCCCAAAATTTAATTTTAGGAAGTTACAGAAGTTGCTGTTACAAATCTCAACTTTTTTTAAAATTGGTAAATAGCCTCAAATAGCATAGCTCATAAAATGTTCAAACTTTGGTTTGAATATTAAGCTTTTACTCAATTAGATTCTAATCAGATTTTAAAGCACTTTTAAATTTCAATTCTTCATTATATTACAAACAATAGGCAGAAAATGATGATTTTTTTAAAATAGTCTGGAATTAATTATTTATATCTTTGATATAAATTTGATAATTTAAGAACTTAAAAAGTTCAAAAAGTATAAATAATTCTGCTGTATTTTAACTCAAAAGGTTATTTAGAATATAAAAATGATGTATGATATTCAATTTTTATCCATTTCCTGAAAGGTTTCTACATCACTGCCAAAATAGATATTACTCTATTCATTGCGTACTTATACATATATGAAGTACTATTCTTAATTTTATTAAAATTTGGTTACTTTCAAAATAATTTCAACCAGTGAAAGAACATCTCTTCTCTTTGGAAAGGCAGTATATTAGCATAAGATTATTTTCCAGTGCCTACCACTCAAATTGTAAGAAGAGGAAGAAATGCCTATTCTAGTTGACAACATAACCTGATGACTCCAGGTAATCAGTGGAGATACATACACCACAAATAAAAACTCTAGCCACTATGGAACACTGGGGGAGGATATAGTTATACATATCACCACTAAATAATGCTAATCAGATGAAAACATCAAGGATTTATATTCAGTATATTTCATAGATAATTAATCCTAACAGCTATGAGAATGCCACAGAGATATATTTATATATTTACAACTGAATAGCCCTAATCATTATGGGAGCACCAAGGGAATAGATTCTATTTTACAAACATGTAAAATGGGTAAGGATATTTTACAAATTAGAATCTTTCAAATATTTTTCAGTTCAGTTATATATTTTTAAGAATAAGTTCCTTGTTATTACTAAATGAGTTTATGTACTAAATACTAATGCTTTTAAAGAATTTTAGCACAGTGCTTTTAAATGTTTGTTTATTATGAAATATGAATACAGACAATTGTGTACAATGCATATGTATAAAGGGAATCATGGCATCAGACATACAGTAGAATCATAGCATCAGGCTGTAATGTGCACCAAAGACTGTCATTGCGAGTGGGCTATTCTGTTCCAAGACTAGGCTTACTGACAGTCACTTCCAACACTGAGGTGTAAATACAAGGAGAATACTTTAATAGAGATAAGAGAGTGCCCAGCTGTTTCAGGAAAGAGAGCATGAAAGGTATAGGAATAACTTCATTTGTTTCTGATCAAGGCAAACAAGCTATGGAAAACAATATGGGCCAGGCTCACTTAGGAATTTTGTCCTCAGTTTAAAAGATGGTACAATGGCAGTTGGCTCGGGGATAAAGATTCTGCCTACCAATGAAGGTGACTCAGGAGTTGTGGGTTTGATCCCTAGGTCAGGAAGTTCCCCTGGAATAGGAAATAGCAACCCACTCCAGGATCCTTGCCTGGAGAATCCCATGGACAGAGGAGCCTGATGGGAAACAGTCCATAGGGTCGCAGAGAGTCAGACACAACTGAGTGACTGAACATGCGCATAGGCACGATGGCAGTGAGACCCTGGTCTTGAAGGTCTTGAGTGTATCTGTAATTTGAACCCTATTGCGATACTATTGACCCCTTCTCGGACAGCCCTTTGTGTCTGCAGCACAATCATTATAGAGAGATTTCTCTCTTTTCTTACCTTCTGGGGATTTCCTTAATTCCTCGACCATGTTGGATCCCCTGTTGCCTCTAACAGATGTTCTCCCTTTCCTAGGTTTATCTCTAATTTTGATGAATTCTAAAGAAGGACTACCTCAGAGGTCAAGTTTTTTGATATTCCAGTCTGAGTGTACATCTATAAGATTTGCTTTCCTATTTCTTATTTCTGTCATCTTTATATTCCAGATATTGAATTGAGTTTTTCATTTCTACCAAATTATTTTAATTTCTATGAGTTCTTATTTTATGAATGTAATAATTTCTCTTATATGTTTGAAGAGACTAACAGTAATCTTAAGACATTTCCTTCTTTCTGAAAAGACCTCAGTTTTTTTCTTTTTCCCCAGTTGCATTTTTCTCTGTGCTTGTTTGGATTTCTATCTTCTGTATTAGAGCTTTTCTTCAGATGCTTGTTAATTCTTCACAACTTGTTAATGATTAAGAAAAGGGAACTGAAGTCTGATTTGGGAGCTCTATGTGCACAATAGGATAGGGGAGAATTTTCTTCTAGTTAGAGTTTTACCGCTAGTTGGACTGTTTGTTAATGAATCCTTTGAAACATCCCTATCTTTGGATCTTTCCTTTGATTCCCCCAGGAGTATTTTTTAATTTTCTTGCTGGAGATTAAGCCTCAACTGCCAGTGTTCTGCTAATTACTGGTTAAGAGCTCTTGAGATCACTACATTCTGCATTCAGAATGACTAAGGTCACTTATTATCAGTCGGCTCAGGAGTAAAGAACCCGCCTGCAGAAGACATTAAAGATGAGGGCTCGATTCCTGGGTCGGGAAGATCCCCTGGAGGAGGAAAGGGCAACCAACTTTAGTATTCTTGCCTGAAGAATCCCATGGACACAGGAGCCTGGCGGGCTATAGTCCGTGGGTCACAAAGAGTCAGACGTGACTGACTGAGCACTCATAAGCATACATATAACTCAAATTTGACACAACAAAAAATCATAAAATAAATGCAAGGAGATCTAGGTCACTGAATCAGCCTGTTTTAAATTTAGTATTCGGGCTTTCAACTGAGCCTAGCATATTCCAGTCTGGAGTCCTTCCTTTTTTCCCTTTTGAGAATAATTCGTTATTATTTTGATGGGTTGAAGAATGGTCTTGCAGGGGAGAAGAAGGAGAAGAATATGAGGATCCACTGTTTTCCAACTACATTCAAGAGGCCTTCCTTGTTGTATTTGTTCTGCTGCATTATCAGTTTGTTTTTTTTTGTTGGTGTTCTTTTTTTTTTTTCCATTTATTTTTATTAGTTGGAGGCTAATTACTTTACAACATTGCAGTGGTTTTTGTCATACATTGACATGAATCAGCCATGGATTTACATGTATTCCCCATCCCGATCCCCCCTCCCACCTCCCTCTCCACCCGATCCCTCTGGGTCTTCCCAGTGCACCAGGCCCGAGCACTTGTCTCATGCATCCAACCTGGGCTGGTGATCTGTTTCACCCTAGATAATATACATGTTTCGATGCTGTTCTCTTGAAACATCCCACCCTCGCCTTCTCCCACAGAGTCCACAAGTCTGTTCTATACATCTGTGTCTCTTTTTCTGTTTTTCATATAGGGTTATTGTTACCATCTTTCTAAATTCCATATATATGTGTTACTATACTGTTTTAATGCACATTGAACAGCTAGGTCCTGTGCCTCGGAGGATTCTGTGATGGCATCCTATTGGTTCGCAGCTTTTCACACTCACCGCTTGGAATACTACTTTTTCCAGTCTGCTTGATGACCTATCATTTGTTCAAATGCTATTCTCCTTCCAAAAATGTTACTGAAACTTTCACCTTTCTTGTTCACTTTATTTTTGGAGTTTAATACTTTAAAAAACAAAAAACTCTCTACTGTAATTTTTATGGTTCAGTAGGGAGCAAATTTTGATGCATGCATGCATTCAATCCTTCACTCTTATTTTGATCAAGAACCCTGTCTTTAAAGAAAATATTGTACAGAAATACAGGATAGAAGCAAATAAAAACCAAAACTACTCTGGTTCAAATATAATACAGGTAGAGCAGACTTTGCTCTTATCATTGTAAAAAATGTAATATTGCCAATGTTTTCTTCTTACCAAAAGCTTTTTCTAATTCAATATGTAAAGGGGATACTTTTTTTAAAGGGGATTTTTACAATACAAATGAATTTCACAAAATATATTCCAGTAATATTTCTGAAACGGGGAAGATTTTAATTTTCCCTTGTGCTTGTCAAATAATGCTAAATTTGGAATCCAATGTAATTTATGCCCCAAGGGCTTAGGTCTAACTCAAAACATTCCAACTTCTATTTTACAAAGCTCAAGAAACATGTTATATAGTAGATAAGGAACACTTTCTAAGCAAACCATGATGAACTGTAAGGTTTTAAAAATCCTCTTTAATATACTGCCTTACACAATACTTTGCTTTCACATTTATTGAATGTAATTAAAAAATATATATATATTCCTTCCTCTTTACAAAGGAGAATAGCTGTTTTCCTACCTTTAACTAGATATTTCTATAATATCACATCATCAAAAATATAACACTCTCAATTACCAATTAGTTAACCTTGAGGTCAGTTTGTAGAGCTTAATATCTAATCTAATATTAATATACTGAAAAATCTAAAATCATAAATTCCACTCACCTTGGTCAAAATTT